TTTACATCATATTTATAATAAAACATTGGATCCTGCTCTGCTTTACCACATAAGTAAGCTAAAGCACCTTTTGTGTCACCATTGACACTTGTGCTTTATGCTTTGTCCCAAAATGGTTGTACATGTCCTTCTGTATGAACCCAACATTCTCATAACCACCTGCTTGTTGTGCAGCAAAGTCCATAATGTGACTTGTCCTCATACCAATATGATGCATTGCATTGCCTTGTGCCTTGTCGGCCTTACTATTTTATTCAATCATACTTACTAGTTAAAAAAGACTCTACTTACTAGTTTATTAGACTTAACTTATCACTCAAATAAGCCTCACTTACTACCACCCAAATAAACTCCACTTACTACTTTATTACTCTTTACTTACCATTTTATTCAATCTTACTTACTAGTTAAAAAGACTCCACTTACTAGTTTATTAGACTTAACTTACCACTCAAATAAATTATACTCACTACTTTATTACTCTTTGACTACAAGAGTACGCTTGCAATATACATCTGCAATCCACTTGTTATTATGACGGCCATACTTGTCTACAAAGTTCTTCCACTCTAATTTAAACATTTCTTGTGTACATTGCATTGACATGCATTTTTCAAAGCTATGAAGAAATCCCTCTATGTGGATATTGGAAAGAGCATTCATTTTAAGATGCCATTTACATAATCGATGTCGAGCAGTAGGCATAACTGTTTTGATTGCTCTACACATGGCCTTATCCCCGTCAGTGATTATGGACAGAGGCATCTTGTGATCCATCGCATCAAGAAATTTCTCTAACACCCATATGTATGTCTCTACTGTCTTGGAAGCTAACAGTGCACACCCAAAAACAGTCGTTTGAAAGTGGTTGCTCACACCTTGTAGTATCACAAAAGGTTTGTTGTACGCATTTGTCCGATACGTAGTATCAAACATCAACACATCACCAAAATACAGATAATCTGTTTGAGATCCACCATCAGTCCAAAACAAATTATTTAATCGATTTTCTTCATCTACATCATATTTATAATAAAACATTGGATCTTGCTCTTCTTTACCACATAAGTAAGCCAAAGCACCTTCTGCGTCACCATCGACAACTTGCACTCTACGCTCAGTCCAAAAATGGTTGTACATGTCCTTCTGTATGAACCTAACATTCTCATAACCACCTGCTTGTTGTGCAGCAAAGTCCATAATGTGGCTTGTCCTCATACCAATATGATGCATTGCATTGCCTTGTGCCTTGTCGG